CATAATAGTAATATTACTATGGTTTACTTTTTAGGAGAAATTGTTTGGATTTCATGGCAATGACATATTCAAAACCAAGCTGACACGCAATCTAGTATATTAAATGATAAATTACTAAGAAACACAATTTTTACTTCAATATAACTGTGACAGCCATATAATTCTGTCCCCTGATGTTTTGATGAGTCAAGCCAAAATGAGCCAGAGTCTATAAAACAAAATATAAAGTACATAATCACAGTACTATCGCTAGAACAATTTTTAAATGATTTTCATTTACTTTAAAAATTCCTTTAATCTAAAATAATTAATTCTAAATGTTTTTTCAACATGTAAGTATACACAAATGGGTACAGTACCATAAATGGAATTGAGTCATTTATAGAGACATACAAAATACATTTAAAATATAAAATCAACACATTTCCTTCTAGTACCAATTACCTATATAATGTTTTGAAATAATAATGTAGCAACGTGTAATATATTTTTAATATTGGTTTTCATTAATGTCTTTTGACCTAAGTTAAAATGGTAATGATGAAAAATAGACTATTTGCTTAAAAGCAAAACTCTTATTAAATCTAAAATATTATGGCATAAAATCAAACCACAAAAAGAACCATACTGTGTTATTCCCCTTGAAAAGTAATGGGAGTTCCCACATAGCACAAGTGAAAATGAGACACTCACACTCACTCAGGCAAAGAGAAGACGGTTCTGTGACGTTACATCCTTTTCTAGCGCCTTGACGGGCATCCCAACAAGTCGCTACATGACTTCAATTAGCAGGATAATTTTTTAGGGTGAAAATAAGTACAACTTATTTTGTCATTGTTGCTAAAATTTCTTGTCAAATCAGACTTTGAGTTGAAAGGCCTAAGTAATTCTAGCCTATCTTAAACTGTAACTTTCTTTTAAACTCCCATGTTTTATTCCAGTAGAATTTTAAGTATACACTGTGTACATTCCTCAGGTCCAGTCATATTAAATTCTGATGTTAAACAGAAAGGGGAAACCATGTGCAACTAGATTAATTTATCTCAAGGGAAAAGAGCACATTAATAATTGAGATAATGTTTTCATAAATGTTGGAATTAAATGTGCCTTTTCACTTCTTTATTAGAAAACACATTAGGATAATATTATCTTACTCTCATCAATAAGACCTAATTGCTGAGAAAGACTATGTTTTCTTTGCAAAACATTCAGAAAGATTTTTCCCATCACATCCAAAAGACTAGAAATATAACATGCATCCAAGTCTTGTTGGAATAAATGTATGTAAGCAAGGCAAGTGATTATTTAATCCACCCTGTAATCTTTTTGCTTTAAACTATCTGAATTCATTATTTTTTGTAGAACACATTAAAATTCTGATTCTAAAAGAATTTGACCAAAACGAGACTAATAATTTCACTTTTAGCTTAGTCTCCTTAAATGACAAAAAATTACCTTTCCTTATTGCTAAAAAACAAACCCAAAAAACCTAAACTCCTGAACTTCCCATAAACACTCAAAAGAGTCAAAACATATTAAATGTAATAGAATACTTAACTTTCTTTAAATTGTTGTATTTTTAAGAACCAGGATTATACACAAAGAAAATATTAACAAAACATGACAATACACTTACAAACCAATCAAACAAGTGCTTCATAGCTAATGTATGTTAAATATTAAAAAGTCATTTTTCTACAAAGAAAACAGAGCTTTTGATTATTAAACAAAAGGAGTAACTAAGGTGAATCTGATTTTTTCTGTAATAAGCCTTCATGTGTATAATAAAGTACAACCATACTAAAAACAATGAACTGTAAACTGAAACAAAAATCCATCATCTACTTGGAAACAGTGACAGGAAAAGATTAGCAATCCATTTATTGTACTGAAATAAAGATAAGTAACCCTGGTAAGATCCATCAGGACTTGCGTATTGAACTCTAAATATAAAGACATTTCTTCATCAGCAAGTGAGTTTAAAAAAAATGTGAGGAAGAAAAACGATTCCAGTTGACTTTTAAAATAAAATACTCATGATTCAACTGCTTTTAATTTTTTTTAAAAAGATCTGCTTTATGTCAATCTGATATTCTGGAAGATATCTAAAAGAGTATGTTTTTAAAATGGATAATTTTTACATGAGTCATTAAATAATTATTGCCAAAACTTTCCTATAGACCTACAGTGTATTCCAATTACTGATTTTTTTCTAATATAAATAATAAAATGATTCAAAAATTTTTCACAACTTAAGTTTGAAAGAAAATAATAACATTTAAGGAACAATCCAACATTTACAATCTTCCATTATAAATATAACTTAATTCAAATAGTCACATTTCATAAAAATAATCATAAAGCTTAAAAGTAAACTCATATTTCATATCTTAAAAAGAAGTATACTAATAAAAACTGAAACCTATTAAAGCAAGTGTTCTACCTTATGAATGGACATCAACTTCAAGTTACCTGGCCCCAGTCAGCTACATTTTATGTGATCTCTCAGGAGACTGATACATTTTGCATGGCTGCATTTTAATATCCTTTCAATCTCCAAAACTTATGTCATTCTAACTGTTCTTACAGGTGATAAAAAACAACCAGACTGCCTTGAATTAGGGGAAGGGACCTGTAGATCATTAAAGCATACTCCCAGCAACTTATTTTTTATAACACAGAACCAATTCCATGCACCACCAACCCCAACACGCTCAACTCACACATGCAAATAACAGGTAAAACTCACTTTATGTCTACTCAAGTATCAGCAACAATAACAAACACTGATTAAGTTCTCCAGTCCCTTTACTACAACAGGATGTAAATTTCATCAAGTATAAGTAAAGGTATAAAATAAAAGATCAATGTTTTTAGTATTAATACATATCAATCATATTCTATATGTATAGTGGGCTCCTGACAACGTCCCGGTCACCCAAAGCCATTTAGGAAAAAGAAACAACAAAAAAATGATAAACTATAGGATTTTCTTCATGTTTATGGCTTTGTCCCCTGGCACTCTAACTCCAAGTCATCAAAGGGCAATAGTGTTCAGTTTTAACAGTTTCAGATAGAGTTTCAGATAACAGTTTCACAATGAACCCACTGTCCCACTGAACAATTGCTTTAATATTTCCTCAGAAAAGTACTGGCAGATCTTTAACTGTATGGTGTTAGGGCTCCTAATAACACCAGCAGAACATGAAAACTGCCTAGAAGTGTTTTATAAACTGTAAACCACATTGGAGGTTACAACTAATTAGTCAGAAACAAAAACCACTGGGAAATATTTCAAAACCAGACACTTTGATTATTTCCCACTTGTCTTTTTTCTATCCAAAAGCTCTAACTTGTAACCTGCCTCTATGTACCAAGCCATTTTCTCCTGCCCTCTTTTCCTACAAAAATTTCTGTTAAAAAAGGAAAAGCATTATTTGATAAAATAAGTATGCCCAACTTTTATTTTCCGCTTTAAGGATCCTGTCTAGAAAGACTAAAAATGTATAATTTTCCAACAATAGTTTTGGAGTGAATTGGAATCTGGGAGCCGGGCACAGGGCACCAGTGCTAACTCGAGGACACGGAGCCCATACACACCCTGTGGGGTAAGTAGCACACATACCCCATGGCGTCATCTCCTGTCATCTCAGGCTGCTCAGCTGTGAGCTCATACACTTAGCTCCTCCCCCATCAAAGGAGGCTTTGCAGACACAGGCCTCAATACCCCCACTGTCAATACTCATGCAAGGGTTCTGGAGACCTAGCTTGCTTTTCATAACACTGTACCTCCAGGGCCTAACATAGTGCTGGGCAGAATGAGTGCTCAGCAAAAATATGAGTGGATTATTGAGTCCCATGAGTTTTAGTTAGTGAATATGAGGCAGCTCACAGTGAAAAGGATCATCTTGACAGTCCACTGAGCCAAGTGCGAGAGGCAAGCTGCTGTAGAAACGACCCATTAATGGAGCCCTAAGGTCCATGCCAACTTGGCTGCTGGCATTTCAGAAACTTTCTTGTCTGGCTACTCCCACTCCACTCTGTTGCCTGGTCTTGGTCAGATTTACATATTGCCCTTAAAGGTAAGACTTCTAGCATCTTGTGTTTCATAAATAACTCCAGAGGTGAGAGGTGGCTAATCAGTGGGGGAATTACCTACAGGATAAAGGTCTGTCTTTTCTGGAGTGGATCTCACTAATCAACCATGAAGCTTTCGGAGAAAGCTCAGGTTAACATTTTTCAAAGAGGTTGTTTATTTTTAAATAATAGTGTCAGCTAAGATTGTGTTATTGAAGCATTTTCATCAATTGGGTTACACCAAAATGCTCAAAGTTTCTCCATTTTGGTTTTTTATCTTCTTGAAGATTGCCTTGCTCCACTACAAAGTACAACAGAGAAGAACCAGAATTTATGATTTATGGTCACAACACTATAATTTGCTTCCTTCAGGAACTTCAAAAGTTATGAATGAAACATGTTGCAGTCTCTCAGTTCAATGTTTACAAAATTGTTTTCGTCTGACAAAATGAGCCGACTCTCTTTTCCTCCTGTTCATGCTGATGTTCCTTCTTGCCCAGTGCACAAAAACATATTGGAAGAGCTTAGAATGGGACCCAAAGCTCACCTGGCTCACATCCCCAATGCCCCAGCTCTTCTGTTCCATCTCCTTAGCTGGTTTCTGTTTTTCTCAACATCCCGGAGATAAAAGATCAAATCTATCCCAGCTGGAACAAAGGTTCCTTAAGGTGATTCCACTTTCAGAAACCGGCAGGCCCTATCTTCCTGGCTGGCTTGCTATAGTGTCAGGTGGAGCTCTGCACCCCTTTAATGCAGGTGGTGCAGACACGGGTATTTGCATGACCAGAGAAGTCTATTGTCCCACTACTACTCTCTAGGAAACGATGGAGGCTGTCCCCGAAGTAGCCACCCTCCAAGGGCCAGGCTCTTTGATGGCCAAAGCTCTGCCTCTGGTGCAAGGTGCTGGGCGGCGGGCGACTTACCTCCCAGAGATGCTGCGTGTTTCTCACGGCGCCGGCCTGCACCTTCTCTGGGGGCAGGAGTACGCCCTGGAAGGGCCCAATCCAGGTGCCCTGCTGGATCCTCTGCGCCGCACAAATGCCGTAAGCCAGGCCCGGCACGGTGCTCGTGCACAGGCACACCTCCCGCGGCAGGTCTCGCAGCCACTCCGGCAGCTCCGGCGGGGGCGCAGCGGCCGCGGCGCTGCCGGTGCTCACCAGCCGGCGCAGCGAGTGCAGCGGCCCGTGCATCGGGCACTCTCCGTGGCGGTTGTCCGCACACATATCGCAACCTGCCGGAGACACGCGGGAGGGAGGGGAGGAAAAGGTTAACTCCACAACTCCGGTGGCCCATCCTCGGGTAAACCCTCAAGACAGCAGCATCCCCGCCCCTGGTAAGCACCTGCAAAGGAGGTGACCCCGTGAGGGCGCTGAGGCTACTGGGAGCAGGGGGAGAGGTGAACCCGAACCACTCCCCTGGAAATCACCGCGCCCAAATCCGCCTGGTACGGGGTCGGGACCAGGAGCCCCCAAAAGCCTACCGAGCTGGGAAGGAGTGGCGCTGTAGACTCCGCTGAACCGACGGCCTGAGGCTTCTCTTTCCCAGTTTCTCGCTATCTCCCCCTTTTCCTTCTGCCTCTAGTTCCCTCTGATCTTCACCCCTGTACCCGCGGGTTCTCTCTCTATCGGGTGTTTCAAAGACTATTTGTCGTTGTACCACGAAGAAAGCCAGACAACGAAAGCCCGTCTCTTCCCAATCTAATATTTCGGAGAGATTCTACATTGGTAGCCTGGATATATTTGGGTTGCCTCTTTCTATAATTATAGGAGTCACTTTAAAAATTACCAGAGGCGGTGGGTCATCTGTCTGTTGCGGGGGGGTGGCGGGGGGGCGCCATTCGCACTCCTCTGGGCCCACGCGCCTGAGCGCCCTGGAGCGCTCCAACCACAGGCACAGCCGGAGCCCCAGACTCGCCACTCAGGGCGTCCCGGGAGTCGCTGGAGCGCCCAGACAGGGCCTGCTCTAGGCAATTCAGCCAGGTGGGGACTGATGGGGAAAGAGGGGCTGTTCTGGCGGTTTGGGGGCACCTATGCTCTTCTGTCAGCTATTCCCAGAACAGAAAAAGAAACGAATAGCAAATTTAATGATGGAGTAATGGTTCTTTAATGATCAGAATAATGGTTCAATGGAAAGGGCTCCAACTCCCGCTCAGGCCGTTGGTTCTCCAGGCTAAATGCTATCATCTTGCGTTACAAAGTGAGGGTTGTGAAGCTGCCTCTCTCCAACGTTCCCCAGAGCATCCAGAGCTCGAAGGGACCCCCACCCTCCTGGCCGGGCTGTAGACACCGACTGTCCCTCCACTCAAACCCGAGGTGAGAGACCAGGCAGCCGCGGGAAGCAGGGCCTGGGCGACTTCGCTGTCGCATCGCAGCGCCCTCCGGGTTATTAATGGGCCTGGCGGAGCCGCCGCGTCTGCGCCCAGGCCGGCAAACCTGCCTGGGGGAGACGGCGTCGGCGCCCGCCAGCGCAACCTGGCCTCCCTGGCCCAGCCTCCCAGGGAGCAGTGGCGCCCCGGAGCAACAGAGTTCTGTGGCACTGGGCCTGATAGTGAGCAAGTCCCAACAGGGGGAGATGGCCAGAGCTGGGCAGGAGGCGATACACCACTCAAGTGCTGGGTGGAGGTCGCCCTTGTACCTTCCTGTGCCCAGCCTTGGTCAAGACAGTCCAGGTGGACCTCACAGGTTGTACCCTCTTCATGCTGAAACAGAAAAAATGCCCAAGGAACTTGTGACAAAGTGAGTCACTGAAGAATCTTCAACAAACGGACACCTAATCAAAACCCAGCATGATGAGCAAATCCTCATTTTGCCATTCGCTTCCCAGGGAGCTGAGGGTTGACTCTGTGAGCATCCCTTCTCAGGAAGGGGCTCAAGTCAGCAGCGCCTCTCCTGGGTCAGCTACTCCTCCACTCCCAAGAGAGCTCAGGGAATCAGGGGACCTTCTAGCTGCAGCTTCTTGGAGGTGTCCCCAGGCCTCTCAAGTGAAAAGCAGCAATCTGTTTCTGCAGATAGTGAAGTGTCTGTGCTTCTGGGCCTCCACCACACAAAGGCCCCCTCTTCCAGAAACACAAACTAATGTAAAAGCTGTGCCAGATTCTGCTTTTGACCTTAGGATGTAGGTAGAAGGTATTTTCATCGTTTTCCACATGTGAACCCTTCCAGAACACACAGGCTTCACACACCCTCTCAAGATTCTGATTAGGAGAAAAAACTTCAAGATAAGAGGGTAATGGAAAGAAAGACAAAAACTCATAATTACCAAGTGCCAACTATATGCCAGCCATCTACCTTGACCCAATCACCATATCACCTAAGTGTCATGATTCCCATTTTGCAGATGAGGTGATTGAGGCTGCATGAACAATGTTAACGTGACCATGAACCACACACCAGAAACTGGTAGAGAAAGACTCACGGTCAGGCCTGCCTGACTCCAACACCCCCAAATCTAGAGATCCCGGAAGACTTATAAGAGCTGGGAGAATTTTATATCCATTGTAACTCAGTCAATAGAATTGAAATATTTTACTTCAAATAATTGAAGTCACTATGTGGAGGCCACAAAAATTGCCGTGGCGTGGCTGAATTAAAGAGATTTCTCTTGCTCCTTCCCACACTCTTGATCAGGGGTTAAAGTAAAGGAATAAATTGGAAAATAATTAGTTAAGGTCCATAATTTTGAATTACAGTGCCTTTCAGCACCTTAGCAAAAAAAAAAATAGCTTAAAACAAATGACAACAATCAAAGGCAATATGCCCCTATAAATAAATCACCCCAGGTTTTTGCTTAACTGACCGTCCCTTTCTGGTTGGCTGAATGAAACAAAGGGTGAGAAGCAAAAGCAGTTTAGTATTCACTCCCATAACGGCACATACCAAAGATTCTGTCAAAGTTCAACATCTCCATACCATGGAACAGTCACCCCAACAAATCAGTAACAAAATATGGAAAAAAAGTACCAACCTCAACCACCACCCCCACAGCCAGGAAGCATGTTTTGGTATTTGTTATTAACGATAACACTATGGCTAGGCCTTTCTCTAAGAAGTTCTCTAAAGTTCTCCTCAACTTAAGTTTCATTTCTCTCCATGAGATGTTGAAAAAAACTTAGCATTTTGCAGAGTAAAAAGTTGATGTTCTCCCAATATTTGGAAGCCTACATGCATATTAGGTCCACAGCAGAGCCAATCCACTTTAATTAGTCCACCCAACGTGAGTCTTCCTAATTTATAAACCACTTTGTGCTATATCAAAATATTCTGTCGGAAAAGTTGGCCAAATACATCAAAATACATGTTGTATCCTAACATTACTGTTTTTCACACACAAAGCTCTGCCACTGAAACCATTTGGCTTCTGACATATGTCTTGGAGTCCCAAAGAAGCTTGAGGATATTTAAAACAAGTAACTGATTACTTGGGGTTGACAAATGTGGCACAAGTAGACAAACATTCTAGCGGAGTGTTTTCTAGACAGCAAGTCATAAACACCTACATGAAAAGGTTTGAGGGAGAGGTGGGCTAGATGCCCAAACTACACACAACTACACACACATATATAAAATACATATTACACACCGCATTCCATGCCAAGTAATACATAATACAAGTCTATTTGTATTCATAAAGAAGAGGCAAATAAATGTTCCTACTTTCCCTTAAAATCAGGGCAAGTTTTTATACAAGTTCATAATTATTATTCAAAAAGGGTTTTCTATGTCTGTGAAAAATATTATATTATCCAAGCATATCTTTGAAATGCCATTTTAGCATTAGGGAATATAAGAAATTTGGTCCCTTTTCTATCTTGAATAAATCTGTTGGTGCTCCTGCTGATGGGCCCCGGAGCAAGGGAAGGAGGAACCATTGAGTTACAGACTCAGCCGCCTACTGACTTCAGCAGGCCAGGCCAAGAAGAGTGAAGAGTGGACCTTCACTCTTCGTGTCACAGCCTCTTTATTGTTTGAATGTTTGTACAAGTGCATGTAATAATTTTGTAATTGAAAATAGATCTATTTTAAGATAAAGGAGGCAAAACAGGTCATGGTTTCTTTTTTTTCTTCCTGGTATTTTCATTTGTCTGTCTAGGAAAGATGAAATACAACACGGTTCAGGGCGTTTTTGGTGTCTGAAGAGACCAACGGTTATGTGTGAGCGCAGGTGAGCTTGGATGCACGGAAAGCACCAGGCTCCAACACGCCAGGCCTTGGTTCCCCAATGACTCTCCCAGCCATCGCCAGCCCTCACTGTCCTTTAGAAAGGGAACCAAGGAGCAGCTGAAAAAGACTCCCTTCCCTCCTAGACAGAGGTAATCGAGGGGCTATAAATCCTCCCCAGACACCCCTGAGGTCACAGTCCTCAGTCTCGAAGGCCAACCCAGGCAAGGCTAGGGCCCATCGATCGCTGCCCAGTGATGTTGCCCCAGGAGTGCCGCCTGCTGGCAGCACCTCTTGTGCTCTGTGCATGGGCAACAGAGGTATGGGCTGCTGCAGGGAAGGGAGCTGGCTGTTGGGGCAGAGCGCAGGCAGGACTAGGTATCTGGAAACCTCCTGCACCAGGGTTCATGCCACTCACACCCTCGTCCCCTCCCCCCTCTCCCTCCTCGGCCAGCACTCTCCCCTTGCCCTCCCGGTGCAACTGGCTGTTTGGGGTGGCGAATCAGTGACCAGCTAGACAGGCTGCTGGCCGGAGGCCCCCGAACTAGTCTGCATTTTGAAGGCCTCACCCACTTCCTGCCAGCATAGGGCTTTCTTGCAAGGCCAGACGCGACCCCTGCCACGGAAATCTGAAGACTCCCATTATGCCCACCACCCACTAGCCCTTCTCCTTCCACCTGGCAGGGGTCTTCTAGGCTCCTGGATAGGGTCCAGAAGCGGATCCAGACATGGATGAGTTAGCCCAGTCACCGCGAAAGGGAGCCGATTGTGGTTGGGGTCCAGGGAAGGCCCAGCTGGGGCTAAATCTTCTAGAGGGCTTTTCCTGGACGAGTTTAAAGCTCCCGGTCGATCTCAGAAGCGTGGGTTGTCCATGCTCGTCGCGGCTGCTGTGGCTGCCGGCTGGGTCCCAGGGCCGAGAGAGAGTGACAACAGAGGAAGGAAAACAAGGAGGAAGGGAGGAAATGTGGATTTTGTTTGCCTCTTGCTGACTATATTAATAAGTTAACTGGGAGCACCCGCGAGTGCGGGAGAGAGAATATCCTGGAGATAAACCTTGCCGGCCCTGCCCCAGCGAAGCCGCCCTATACAATACAATGCGCAGATGATGAATAGGAGGCGCGCGAGAGATCGAAGCAGGTCTGGGCTGGCTCCACTCGCTCCTACAAAACTATAGGGCAATTAATTGTGGCTTGTCCCCTCATCCTTCATCTCCTGGTGGCACATATCGATGGAGATTACTGCTGATGGACCATTTTATCACCTTAAATAAACAGTCGCCACCTCTTCTAACCTCAATCTAATATATGGCTCTATGTTCAGTTTCAGGGTGCTAGATAACGAATGATGTAAAATAACTAAATCATGTGTGTTATGGGATGGGGCTGGGCCTGCACACACAAAGAGAGGAAAGAGAAAAGAAAAATAGAACAACAGAAAAGCCCACACACTGACGCCCGGCCTCCCTCCCATCAGGAACCAGACCTGAAGCCGAAGTCACTGGCTGGCCACTGGGAGCCCTGACACTGGGTGTGAAGCGAGTGTGCCTCCGCGGCAGGAAAGCCTGCCTGCAGGAGCCTGGGCTCAGGACGCTACTAAACAGGACCTTTGTTTTCCAGGTGTGTGGGAAGAGAGCAGAGAATGTCAGAAAATACTCACTCTCCTTTATCTTTTTCATAATGGCGTTGGGCCCAGATTGTTTTCTCTCCCCTGGCCACTCTCCCCAGGCTCTTGGAAAGGGTGGCGCTACCAATGGGAATGCTCGGGGCCCTTGCTGTCCCTAGTGCTGTGCGCAGGGCTCCCCTAATCCCGGAGGGCAGAGACACCTTCAGCTGGGAAAGTTGCAGAATGTCTGGATGCTCGGCAGACAGACTGGGTGAGGGCTTAGCTCTCACTTGCCTGCCAGGTACAGGAGAGGAAGAACTTCAGCAAAAGGTATGAAAAGCTAATTGGCTCAGTCCTTTGGGTACAATCACAAATGTGAGGTATGCCGATGGCCCCCCGCTTACTACCTTCCAAAAGTAGTGACAGGGTCTCAGACAACACACCAAAACCCAGAAGGGGCCACTGCCACAGACCCTGAGGAATCAGTGGCTTCAGGCAACCCAGCAGCAATGAGGGCAGTAATACAAGAAGAGAAAGAAAGGGCCCCACCCCCCAATTATATTACACACTGCCCCACCCGATTTCAAAGAGATGAGAGAGGAAGCTAAACATTCAGAGCTTCAGTGGAAAGTGTACTTTAATCACAGAATAAATTGAATACATGGAGTTAGATAGCAGAAATACTACAACAGAAATGGCTCACTCAGCTAGCTTGTATGGTTTCTGCTGCTTTTAAATCTTTTTGTGGGAAAGAGGGCTAAAAGGCCTTTCACTATGGCATTTGCCATAGCTGCCAATAAAGTTTCAAGGTGAGACTACTGTTACTGATTCACAAGTGTTACTGGGTTGCTGATTCCAGGCAGAAAGTTACTCTTGTTAGGGAATAGAGAAGTGAAGAGGCCCCATTCTTTGCCTTGTAGCAAAAAGAGAAAATGACTCAATACAAAGTAACAAAATGAAACAATGCTAAGTGGTCTCACAGAGTTCTTTTAGAAGAAGATAGCAAAAGACTGAAAGGAAAACCAGGGAAATCTACATGTCAGAAATTAATAGTTGCTTCCCTTCTGTACTGCCTCTTACCTCCCCTCTGAAACCAAATACAACCTGGGAAGGGGGAGAGTTCTGCCTGGGGAAATAATGTCTCATCCTTTGCATTTCTGATTTCTTCTGAGCCCCTAGTTGGATTAAACTCAATCACTCCTCACTTCATGTTTGTAAAACACACCCCAGAGTTTAAAATGCGTGCCTGTGCTTGCTCAGAGAAGTTCCTGAAAGAATGGGAGACCCGGTCCCTCCTCATTACACAGAACTACCCCTGCTTTCTATTTTCTTTCCCAATTGCCTTTTAATTAGGGAGCAACTAAAGTGTAACTCTAATGGGACAATCTGACTTCCTCACCCCCACCCCCCCCACCCCCCCACCCCCGTCTTTCCTCCTGCACTTTGCATGTTGAAGTAATCAATTGAACTCAAGAAGAGACACCAAAAGACTAACATTATAGAAATAATTTAAATAAATCATACTTCATTTCCTCTAGCCAGAGGGGAAAAAAGTTACCCAGACGATAAACTGGTTCAAAGAGCTATATATTAATTAGGAATCTATCCCAATTCTTTCTCTAATTAGTCTAGGTTTTTCTCTGGTGAGAATGTATTGAATCTCAAGACTGCACTGTAAACAGCACAAGCAGCTCAACACGCAGCCAGGAGTTTGGGGTGCCCTGCTGGTGTCTTTTCCCCGCACGGACTTCATTCAGAAGAGAAACTGCAAGCTTGATAAAGTACTCTCAGCCCACAGTGACTATATTTATACTTAACTGTAAGAAATACCTTTTTTCAAAGCATTTATATTTTTATTTCACATTTTAAAGAACTGCTTTGAAGGAAACACAGTCAAGAAATTCAGTAGGAGATAAGTATTTTTTTATATCCATTAAGACAATATAATTTTTCTAACTTTTCTGAAACTCTGGAATACAAGCGACTTCTCAACTGCAGAACAAATTTGAGTGGAAACCCTCATTTTAAACCAATACTTTACCTTCAGATTCTAGAAAGGAAAAAAGTAAACTCAACTGCTCTTTTTGTTAGTAGTAATCAACTTCCTTAGAACCATTATTCCCCATCATTATGAAAAGATTAGTACAATGTAACCACTAGGCTCCTGCCCAGTGTTCTTTCATCAGAGTGATGGCTTTGGGGCCCTTCAAATAACCCTAACCTGGAGGTATTTTGCTTTTACAACGAATTAAAAAAGTTCACAGAGTGGTAGACATTCTGCAAGAGGGGACTCATTCAAAATAAAATAATAACCAATGTCTGTGATCCTCACACGGAAACCAGACGGAGGAATGAGAGGGAGAACATGGTGAGCGAGTGATCTTTCAGACCCTGCATTGCTTTCAGCCTGGCTCTTCCGACCTGACTTCACGTTCTCTCCAGAGGTCTCTGGGCTCTGGAAGGACAGTGAGCACTTGGCCCAACACATTAAGTGCAAACATCTCATAACTTTTGAAATTACCAAAAAGAATCAGATATAAAGCAATGCACAATCTTGGTCTTCATCGAGCGTCTTACTTCAAAACCTTGTGATTGAGCATACGAAATTGTGTATACAGGAAACAAAGCTGGATGAGACCCGATGTTTAATTAGGCATCTGCTATTACTTGGGGGACAAGGAGAATTAGACTTCTTAAACTAAATTACTGTCACCCGAATTTTACGAATAACTAAGCCATCAAGCATGGCTACGGGATGGGAACGTTTGCAGAGTCACGGGTGCAAGGAGAACGTGGGACCCGCAGGGAACAACCCTATCCTGAACACGGAAAATTTCTCACTAAGTAGCTCCTTTTTTCTCTCTCTCTCTTCTAAATAAATGGTAGACCTAAGAATAATGCCTGCTTGCAGGGAGAAACTGACCCAGTATCAACAACCAAAACTCTTCCTCCCGCGAGGCCAGGCTCGCCAGCAGCTCCCGGCTGTTCCCCTCGACAACCCGGAGCGCGAAAACGAACTGACGCAGTTAGCTCCGGGAGGAAGGTAGAGAGAACACACAAGCCCTGGAATCCACGCTCCCCAGGAATTCTGAGCCCCTATCTTGTCCCCACTATGGCCAGGCCGGCCGGTGCTCGGGATCCCCATCGCGCGCCGCTAAGTAGCCGACCTTCCCGGGGCGCTGTCCCTCGGAAGGGAGGACACATGCAAGTCCGGCCAGCGGGCCGTTCAAGTCCTCCACACTTGGGGCTGCAAACCAGAGGGTGAGGGGAGACGAAGGGGTAACCCCGAGGCGCCACCCTCCCCTCTCACCCGCTCTCCTTCCTTCTCTAACGCCAGAAAACTCCTGCCACGGTGTTCTGGGAAGTGCGGGGCCGCTGCCTGGACCAGTCCACCCCCCACGGGGTCCCTCTCGTCCCACCCGCCTCCCAGACGGGCGCCCGCCCTGGACGGCGCCAGCGCCACAGGAGAGAGCGCGTGGGCTGCGGCTACGTACGATTGTTGGGGTCGCTGGTGTGCTGGTTGAGGGGGATGATCTCCATGCGCTGCTGGCCGTACAGGTAATAATCCAGCTCCTCCGCGCTGCAGCGGAAGCGCGGGGCACCGCGGCCATCTCCACCACCGCCGCACTTGGAGGGCCCCGGGCCCGAGGCGGCGCCGAGGCACAGGTCCTTGGGGGGCAGCGGCTCCACGGCGACGGCTGCGGCCAGAGGCGCGAACACCGGGAGCTGTGCCACCGGCAAGGCCGAGAGACCCGCCAGCGCGGCGGCAGCGGCGGCACAGGAGGAGGCGGAGGAGGCCGAGGTGGAGGAGGAAGCCGGAGTGGAGGAGGCGGAGGAGAGCGAGGCCGGCCGCGGGCGCAGGCTGTCCGGTGGAGGCTCAGAGCGCTCAGGGGGCGGCGGCGGCGGAGGAGGTTGGAGAGGCTGCGGCGCGCCCAGGGGACCCGCGGGACCGCTGCCTTTGAGCGGGCCACCGCCGCCGCCATGCGGGAAGAGTTGCTGCCAGTGCTGCAGATAGGCTGGGTCCACTTTGAGGAAGGCCGAGCCGCCGGGGTCTCCGGGCTTCAGCATGTCCGACGCCTCGTGCTGGGGGCAGAGGGCAGAGAGGAGGGTGCGCGTGAGCCGGGCCCAGGGCCTGGTGCAAGCGGGGCGGGCAGGACGGCCGCCGAAGCCTCGGAGCGGGAGCCACAGCCTTTGGCTTCGCCAGCGGCAGCCGGGTTCAGCGGCTCCTTCCTTCCAACTCCTCTGGGGCGCAAAGTTTACTCTGAAGCCACCGCACCGCGCGGTAGAAGGTGAGTACGCGCTGCCTGGCCGCGCAGCCCGAAGCGCCCAGCTTCCACCCTGCACCGTCGAAGCCCGGACACAGGCACGTCCCGCAGAACTCCGCTACACGACGCAGCCCCCGCCCCGAAGCAGCGCCCGGGGCCGACCCCAGCCGGTGTGGCGCAGCGCCGGAGTGGCGTTGGCCTCCGGCGCTAGGAGGCGGGTCAGTCTCGCCCCCCGCCCCCAGCCCAGGACCTCCAGCCTCCTATCCCGTGGGCCGAGACGCTCAGCCCCAGAGGAGCCTCGCCTTACCTGAAGACCGGCAGCCGCCGCCGGCGGGTGCGTGTGTACTCGTGTCTCCGGGGGCGTGAGGGAGCGTGGGCAACCCGAGTGCGCTACATGCCTCCGGCCGTGAGGGAGGGAGACCTGGGCATCCGGCAAGGGTTACGGAGGCCCACGGAGCGCGGGAAACCAGTGCGGCTGGAGCGCGGGAGCGCAGCGGGACCCCGGCGCGGGACAGAGTCACGGTGGGTTGCTACGCCAGCCGGCCGCCGCGTCCCGGCTCCTCCGCTCCACTCTCTGGCAGCCTCCCGGCTGGACACGTGGGTTTTACGACAGCACAAAATACAAGAGCGTGTGTGTGTGTGTGTGTGTGTGTGTGTGTGAGAGAGAGAGAGAGAGAGAGAGAGAGAGAGAGAGAGAGAGAGAGGGAGAGAGATGGGGGTGGGGTGGGGTGGGGTGGGGTGGGGTGGGGGAGGCCAGAAGAACCAAGGGGAGGGGAGAGGGAAGCTCTAACTCGGCCAGATCCTCAAACTGCCCGTGCGCCTCTCCCGCACAAATACCGCCTCCGCTGTCCCACCCCCTACTTTTATTTTGGCGTGACGTCTCGCACGCGCCTGTTGTCACTCTCTGCCCGTTACAAGTCTTTTCTAGGTGCCGTCTCACTGCCCTGACCCAGAAAGCAATGGAAACGCGGAAACCGGACTGCATCTCCGCAGGAGCCCGGGCGAACGAATCCGGTTGGGCGCGTGCGGCCGGGCAAGAGGACCAAGTCTGGGACCAGGTTTGAGCTTTGGCCCTCTCAATTGTGTTACCGGACCCCCCCGCCCCAGGACTACTTCAGGGTGCCAGAGTGGAGTAGCCCGCCACGCAACTTCTAGCCCAAATCCGGGAGTGGGGGGAGGTGGGCGGGGGGGGGGAGTTGGGGGCGGGGCGGGGTGTGCCTGGAATTAAACTCGGTCTTCTCAGTCCGCAGCGGAGGAGGCAGGCTTTGTGGAGCTGCGAGACGTGAGACCGAGGGTCTCTAAAGGGCGGCAGGTCCTGGGAGGGCTGGAGCTGGGCTCCGGGCTAGAAGGCGGCTGTGAGGGAGTCTCTCGCCGCCCAGCACTTAGCCCACGCACTCTCCGGTTGTCTTCCTGGGATACTCGCTTCTTGTTGGCATCCAAGGCAAGTATCTAGAGTAACGTCTAGTAGTACAGCTGTTCCCGGACACGGGCGGGGCTTGTCTGCCTTTGGTTGCCCCGAGGTGGGGGTTGGGTGTAGTCCTGTGTAGGTCTTTTGCCCCAAAACCTAGTATCGGAGGAGAAGGGTGGGAGCGCAGCCCCACTGGCCACCTAGCCCACTACAGCGCCTTTCCTGCCCAGTCTCACTTCCGCAAATTAGGCGCCCGCCCCCAGGTTTTCCAGGCAGTGGTGGTGCTGGGCCGGGGGCGGGGCACGGACCTAGTGTGTGCCACTGACCCTCCCAGGCGCACCTTCCCCTCGTTGGAGTTCACTCCACATTTCAAAGAGAAGAAATGGCATTTGTCTTTTCCCAAACAAACCCACTAATTTAGTACCCGCTATTCTGCGCAATTACTAGCCACACTTTCCTGGTTTCTGCTTGTTCCTTTTTCTCTTCCCACCACTCATTTCTTCTGAGCCTGGGAAACGCGCTGTTTAGATTTTGTCCTGGTCTCACGCAAAACGCCCCGATGCTGTTTGGAACAGGATTGGGATTGGAGCAAAAATGTTTTCACTGGCGTGGTTGTGACAAGGTCATCGTCAGTCATTCCCAGCTGGATTGATAGCACCAGAGTTTAAGGCAGACACCACAAGGGAAAACCCACGGCGCTGTGAACACCGAGGCGAACGAGGCAGGCTCCGCCGGCTTTGAACAACTTCATCCGAAGGAGAGAGTGAAGTTCCGGGCCTGTTGCGGTGTACCTGCCCTGCTCGCAGACCTGCCTGGCGGTGGCCGCGGGGCCGGCAGGGCAGGGGCAGTCTCTCTCACTTCCAGTCGACACTGAGAAACGGAGAGACTCTTCTGTTCTCAGGGAAAGACTGTCAGCACCGGGGATGCGAGCCCAGACGCCGCAGCAGCTCCTTGCGCTCTTGTTTCTGACCAAGCCGGCTGCTTACACGCGCTCGGTCCCCAAGACTAGCCATCCCCCAAACACTTGGAAATCTCAGGAATTTGAGACACTAGTGACAGCAACTCCTTCCACGGCTTCACGCCCCCATGCCCCTGTGCCCCCCTCTCACCCCCATACACACACCCTGGGAAACCCTGGGGTCCTTCCTAGTAAGATTAGCAGACCGTCTAGTGAGCGCTTTCCACAAGCCCGGCGCGGGTAGGCGCTTCAAGTACATTGAGTCTGCCCAGCAACCGTGCGGAGAAGGCAGTATCATTAATACCAATACTACAGATGGGGACACTGGAGCTCAGAAAGGGTATTTACCTAAAGTCATACCACTAATGAGTGATGGAGACAATGAGGCGCCCAGTGCATTTTCCTGCTCTCCCTAGCCAAACCTCTACCCTCACCGCCTGGACAGACGCCAGAGGGCCGTGGGGGCACCTCGGGAAGAGGTTTGGCTTTCCTTGCTGCCTGGGCCAGGGGGAGAAACAGATACTGCAGCGGAGCCTCCCTTACCCACTATGCGAGCGGGTGGTGTCCCAGACCCTCAGATTCGAGGACTCCCCAGCAGTTCCTGTCATAAGGGGGTCTTGGACGACCAGACCCCTAGGGACCGAAAGCCTTAGGGAACTCGCGTGTAGGGGCTGGCCCAAAGTTCTATGGGGTACTCATAAGGTCTGGGAGTCCAGAAGCGCACGGATAAGGTCCCGAAGGTAGGGTAGCCGGGCCGAGCATCCCCAGCACCTCACCAGTGGGTCCACGACTAGAGTAGGGGCCCCTGCTCTGCCCGTGTCCTCCAAGTGCAGGGCTCAGCTGGAACAGATGTCGGCTCGGTCCTCCCTCATCCGGCACTCCTGCGATCTGCCAAGGCCACTGCCCATGCACCCAGCTGATCCTGGGCCAGCGTGGGCACCTCCGACGGCTGCCCTGGCACCTCTCAGGTTTATAGAAAGAGCCCAGGGACCATCAGGATACGCACCCCTCAAACCTGCTCCCCTCCTCTTCATTCCTGAGAAGGAGACCTTGGAAACAAATCACTTCGACCACTTAGGAAGCGATCAGACCTTTATAAAAATCCATCGCTCCCCAATCGATGGGTGAATATTTGCTGGGAATTTGTTCCAGAGAAATAAATAAGGAGCGTGGGTGTATTAAATGCAAACGGGGGGACACGATGGTGTTTTTCTTCATTGATTAATGACCTCTAAAATAAAATAAGTGGGAAGCGTCTCCAGGATCGATAAATTAACTACCCAAATTCATCTCTTTCTAGAGCAATTCTTCCCCCCGAAAATTATCCTTAGGAAGCCTACTGTACCCTTAGCTAGGAGGGAAGAAGGGAGTGGGAAGCCGGAGCAGGGAGGGAGTGACAGGAAGGGGCAGGAAAGCAAGAAGAGAATTCTGTCCAGGAGCCCCTCTATCTGATTTCGTTTGACATGCAATTTTCACGTTTGCCTTTCATATTAATTATTTTTTTCCTGATGGAGGAGGGGAACAAATGGTCTGTTGCCTTTGACAGGACTCCAATAAAGAATTCAACAGCTCTCCTCTCCGCCCTCAGCACTCTGCTTCTAGGTTTAAGGTCATGGGTGGCTGAGTTAATAATTCATTAATATAGACATTTATTCAGAAGGGTTCTCTGAGATCCACTCTCCCAGCCTCCTCCCAGAGATTTATTTTCCTGGGAAATGGATTGGAGGTGGGGGCGGGGGTGGGGGGAGGACTGCAGGTGGAAGGAGGGAAGGAGTAAAAAGAAAATGAAGAGAGAGTCTGGATACAGCTAGGAGGACTCTTTGCTTATCCAGATTAGTGGGCAGGTCCCTCTAGCCCACCATCAAAACCTGGTTGAAAATGTGGCATCCAAACTGCACAGGGACCCTGGCCTCCAGTCATCCTTTCCCTACTCCTACCTTTGCTCATGTACACATTTCACAAAAGCTCTGTCCCTGCATGCCGTAAGGTCTGGGAAGAGCCAGCTAACTGAGGACCTTGGGATGCAGGCAGAGGGGGAAATCTCTGGAAAGAAACTAACCACCCTCCCTCCCAGTTCCCAAAGGAGGAGCTTTGAAACTTGCCAGACCTGGGGACTAAAGGAAGCTCCACTCCTAAGGGCACAGGCAGAGTCTGGTGGGCACTATCCCCTAGGAAAAGGACTACGGGAGTGTCAAAACAAAATCAAAAAGTCCACATCCTCATGAAGTGTACACTAGAAGAGGGGTGAAAACAAAAAGTAAACAATAAACAAGTAGTTGTCAGAGGGTAATAAGTGCTATGGAGAGCAATAAAGAAAGGATAGAGGGAAAGAGTACTGTAGGAGGAGGGTGTTACTATTACAAATATTGCCTTCAAGGAAGGCTTTTCATATAAGGTGGCACTTAAATAGAGACTTAAAGAAAGAGAATTCTATTTTTGCACCTAGAGCAGGGCATTCTCTGCCCTAGCTTGTGGCCCAGGGGTGAACACAGTAGAAGGCCTCTCCTAAAAATCCCCCAAGGCCCCCCGCGTAAGGACTCTTGCCTCCTCAGATCAGCACCAGGCCAAAATTGGCCCCCTTTGCTCCTACCTCTTCCCATCTGATTCCCAGGAGACGCTGCAAAAAAAACAACAACAAAAAAACTACCTAGTACCCTTTAAAATACATGTGTTCACTATTTACATCATCTGAAGTCACCTCTATTGCTGGTGACTTAAAGCCTTACACAGTGACCTCCCCCACACTGGGCCTCAGTGTCTTCAGCAGTCAATTAAATGATGGGACTTATGTGGTTTCCTATCTTAAGCTTTTAACGAAGCAGCTACTAAATTCCAACCTCCCTCTCTACCACCCACATTATACCCCACCTTTGGGATGCCATGACTCCAAGGTAAAACGTGCTGAGAAAATGAAAACAGGAAAACTCTCACCATTAATCACTGCCCTCTTCCCTTTGATCCTTTTGCATCTTCACTCATTCACCCTTACTGACAGAAAACCACAGTGCCAGCTACAGTGGTAAAGAAACTGTGCAAGGATAAAAAGCATGAGGTGAAGACACTAGAAAGCTTAGCACACTGTTCTTTGCTCCCAGGATGCAGCATAAGTCTCGCCTTTCTTCTGAAGTCTTGACAGTTTGCACATGTGGCCTCTTCAGCTCTTCTCCCTTTTACAGCAGTGTTGGGAAGGCAAGCTCCTCACTTGGCCAGGTCAGAGACAGCCTCTGGGGCTGAGAGACCAAGCTCAGCCTGTT